GTCTCTCCTCCAAGAGATAGTCTTGACCAAGAGACTCTTCTCTGCTCTGCTCCATTATTCTTTATCTTGGGTCATTCCTTGATGTTTTTACTTATCTCCAAACTGAAAATAGATGAAGAGAAATTTATAGATAGATAGATGATAGATGATGATGATGATGATGCATTCATAAACACACACACATACATACATACATACATACATACATACATACATACATACATAATGTGAGTGAATAAATTGTTAAATAAAATGATACATGAGTGATTCTCTGGGAAGTTAAGAGCAAAGTAAATTATTTGTCTTGGATGTCTTAGACCAGCAGTAAGAGGAACTACTTTTTATCCTTCAGCCTTGTGATTAAGGCTGGGGATGAAGAGAATAGAGGAGAAAGGGAAGAGAGTGGCCAATGGGTTGATAACAGACATGACTAGGAATCATGCCCTTCTGAGTGAGCAAGTAGCTGAACCCTGTTCATGGTCCCGGAGAAGGCTCCAAGGTGAAGGGCAGGAGGCATATCTACTGTGGGTAATGTGGTGTCTGCAGCTGGCATCCTCTGGGTCGGGGTAGGGGGCAGGGAGGCGGCACTTCCTGCTCTGAATTTCTGATGTGCTGTCAGCAAGGGATCTTTTCTCACTTCTCAGTTCTCCTTTATGAAGTGTACTTTCTACCCCTTTCTCAGGGGAATGGCTCACTCCCAGGGTGCTGTGAGATCTGGGCCTGGGAAGGCTGCTTGGGAATGCCCCCTTCATTTGCAAATTGGCGAACAGTTTCCCATTGAATGGAAGAAAGCTTGTTTCAGAGCTTGAGAGAAATAATAAAGCCCATTTAACAAACCCAACATTTAATGAACTCAAAACAGTGAACGTTAAAAAAAGTAAACTAATAAAGCAATTTTTAAAATCTTAATGCATGCTTATTAGCTTTACTGTCTCATCAGTAAGTGTTCACTAATCTTCTTTACCACAGGATCTACCCACCGCCTATGTGTGACTCCTGAGCACCAGATAACAATGTGGATCCAAATTTTGGAAATGGAAATCCTTTTGCACCCCTGGTCAGCTTTCACAAATCACTCAGAACCTTCAAAAAGAACAGGCCTAGCACCACTGAATGCCAGGCTATTCACAAAGGAAGGAACAGGACAGACAAACTCATCTTTCTGGTGTCTTCTATAAAGCCCTCTTTATCGGGTGCTTTCAGAATCCTGGGAATTGATAAGATCTTTCCATCAGTTTTAGGTGTTTCTCAAGAGATAGCTATGATCTCACTGGGAGATTTGCTTTTGGATGTCTTCTCCTCCCTGCCACTCCCCCTCCACCCCATGGTGGGGTATCACTCCATCTTCATTGGGAGGGGAGAGATATGTTAGAAAGCAGAGGAGATTGGACAGGGCAACAGAATGGAGGCAATTATAGAATAAGTATCAGAGCAAGTATCAAATACTGTTTGGCCCAAATACATTTTGTCCCATGCTGTTTCTTATGCAAATTAAACATCTAGAGACCAGCCTGTGGTAAAAGTGAGATCCACTTCCCCAACTTCATTCAGCTCACCCTTGAAAGCAGTATCATGTACCTGATTGTCAGCCGGATCTCTAACTCTAAGAAACTGTAGGAGAAATCTCTTTCTCTGTCTCAGAATCTTATCCTCATCAGGCTTTTCCAGAAATCAAAAGCACCTGCTCTTTTGTTCAGGTGGGCATCTAAAGAGAGCGCTATTACCATTAGAAAACAGCCAGAGTTCATTCAGGAACACTAGCGACATGTCCCTCCCACTTGAGGACACCAACCTCAGATGTCCACCCTTCCCACAGCACACCTTCATGCCTGACGGTGTGCCCAGCACTGTGCGAAGCGATTCACACACACTGCTTCATTACATCCATGCAACCGCAAGAGGAGATGGGGGAAGCCTCGTTTAACAGATTTGGAAATCAAGACTGGAAGAAGTCAACTTGCCCAGTCACTCCATTGGAAATAAGACAGAGTCTCACCCTGCAATTCTAGAACCTGAGCTCTAAAGACATATGACATATCCAGCGCTGATGACCATGATGTGTGCTGTTAGTGATCATTTACCCCTCATAGGATTCCCCTCTTTAGATTTCCCACGTAGAAACAAAGGGACATCTGGGCACCTCGCCCTGGCACAGGAAATTAAACGTGTTTATAGATATAGATGAGGTAAGGAGAGTAACAGAGACAGAGATCAACAGGGAGATATGTCAGAAAGATCTCATCTAAGATTCTGTGTGACACTGTGTCATAAACATTATCATATCCTTCCACAAGAAGAAGAAGTTTAGGTAGATGCCAATGGCTCGTGTCTATAATCCTAATTCAGGAGGCTGAGATCTGAGGATCACAGTTCAAAGCCAACAACTCTTATCTCCAATAAACTACTCAGAAAAAGCCAAAAGTGGTGCTTTGGCTCAAGTGGTAGAGTGCTAGCCTTGAGTGATCCAAAGAAGCTCAGGGACAGAGTCCAGGCCCAGAGTTCAAGCCCCAGAACCAGGAAAGAAAGAAAGAAGAAAGGAAAGAAAGAAAGAAAGAAAGAAAGAAAGAAAGAAAGAAAGAAAGAAAGAAAGAAAGAAAGAAAGAAAGAAAGAAAGAAAGAAGAGAGAGAGAGAGAGGGAGGGAAGGAAGGAAAGAAGGAAGGAAGGAAGGAAGGAAGGAAGGGAAGGAAAGAAGGAAGGAAGGAAGGGAAGGAAAGAAGAAAGGAAGGAAGGAAGGAAAGAAGGAAGGAAGGAAGGAAGGAAGGAAGGAAGAAAGGAAGGAAGGAAGGAAGGAAGAAAGGAAGGAAGGAAGGAAGGAAGGAAGGAAGGGAAAAGAAGAAATTTATTCTCACAGGAGCCCAAGAAAATACCAGTAGTTGGCCAAAGTGGATTATGTTGGATTCAGGTTAACTTCTAGTGTTCAGTCTTACCCCTAGAGCACCAGGAAACAGCTCTTCAGCATCCACCAGATGTCTTCACTGGAGTTAGGAAAGGCATAATTTCTACTGCAACCATCTTCATGAGTGAACTTTACCTTTCTAGGTGAGACAGATAAGGTGCTATTAGTGCCCTGCCTGTGCCAAAGTTGGCTGAAAAGAAGTATGTATTTGAAGAGAAGCAAACACCCTGGCTTCAGCATCCCCCAGCATATCTGCCATGAACAATCACTTAGGTCCATTCTTTGTACAACTGTCTTCTCTTAGTCTTGGCTTGGCTTTCCTGCTCCTTCCTGAATCATACATTCTGACCTTCTCTCTTTCTCTCCTCCCATCCCACATTCCCCCTATAGATCCCCATACTCTGCATTGCCCTCCTCACCCCCACCCCCTGCCAAGGTTCCTCAAGAAACCCACATCTTCTAGGGCCGAATCCAGTGCCTGATTACCACAGAGTCACAATAAATGCTTGATAAAAGGTAAGGAAGAAGAACTATAGAATGAGTGTTAAGCCCCTCCACTGATCCATACAAGATTTTATGTGTTTTCTTTCTGCTCAGGAATGAACTACAGCAAACAGACTATTACTGATGTGTGCAGGGTGCATGAAATTCAATACTAGTGTTCAAATATATATTATATTTATAAATATTATATATATATAATACTGTTCCTTCTCCTCTTATCTCAGCTCATTTGATCCTTATCTATAAAATACATTGCATATGTGTTATACAATACAGACATACTTGGAGTAACACGAGACGGAGGTCTCAATGAGACCTATAAAAGTTACTTCCAAGGGAAAAATGCAGCTTAAAAAATGCATGCTACCAAAAGCTCTTCCTTTTTTAAAAAATTTAAATCTTATTTCTCTAGTACTTGAAAGTTTATATCATTTCTCTTTGCCTACTCTGAGGTCAGTCCAGGATTTCAGCCTCCATTTTATAGAGATGTAAACTGGGTCACAAAAAGTTGTAATGGCTTGCCATGTAGCTATTAACTTAATTCTTTGGCACCCTTATTATAAAACATGGCATCCATTTTGAGGAAAGGAAACAACTCTGCTTTATCATTGTAATCATAATCTTTAGAAGTTAAAATGCCAGTGTTCCTACAATATAAAATTACAAGTGTTGCTAATGGTAATTCTGGAGCCTTCAGGAGAACAGCCTCTTCTCTGGTATTTCCAGCAGGGTCTGGTTGTGTGACTGAGGAGGGACTTACAGGAGAACCTTTCTATGTTTTCCTTTATCCAAGATCACTGCTCTGGGAGACTGATAAAAAGTGTAGAAACCTAAAGGCTGTGCAGTTTAAAGTTCCTTTCAGATGAGTCAAAGACATCCAAAGTTCACTTTTTTTAAACTTCTCAAGAAAAATAACCTTTAGAAAATGTTTACATGACCAGAGTCTGATTTGTCTGACTATCAGGTAGAATCACATTGGACTTGAGTCTCCTTAAATTCAAATTTTCATTCCCTTACATAAAATATAAGCAAGCAAGATGGAAAAGGGAGAAAATTAACCGCTGGAACTGTGCAGAAATAATTGGACTCCCATCAGATGTGTGTGTGTGTTTGTTTGTACAAGGAAGAAAAAGTCATCCTTTCTTTCCAATTTTGGTTGAAGCAGTTAAGGGGTAAAAAAAAAATCCAACTCTGAAAAGTAACAGAAATGAGATTCAGGTGGTAACTGAGATTCCCATTGGATTTTTGTGTGCGGTTCTCTTTTCTTTCCCCCACAGTGGATAATGCATGCCTGCTCATTGTGATTTATCTGAAGCTGGTTTCTTTTACACCTGCAGGCTATATAAAGGCATCAGGACTGGGACTGGAGATTTGGGGAGCATCGGGAGAGGCGGCGTCCACAATCCAGAGAGAATGAAGCAGTTGGGAACATGAGCAAATTGCCTGTCTTTGAGGCTTCGGTGGTAGGAGTCCCTCAACAGCATTGCTGATCTCCCTTGGAAACGCCCTCTCCCCCACGAGAATGTATGTGCTGGTTTGTTCTTATCCTTGATTTTTAACTTTTCACTCATATTTCTGACCTAGAATGATCGAGTCTTGGGCCCTGGAAGAATGCAGGCATTTTGGCCTGTTTGGTTTGGTGGCCTGACAAAAACCTGGTTCCCAGAAGCAATGCTGGTAAGGGCCTTTGTCTTGTTGGCCATCTGTACAGAAGCCCTGGCGAGATCCTGCACGCCAAACAAAGCAGGTATGCCCTGGTGCCACACTGTTTTCCTAGAAAGGAACATTGCTAGAATCTTCCCTTTGTAGTGAACAGAGAGGGCCTTATTGTCTCTGTTAAGAAAAAACAAAAATGCCATCAAGTAGAAGTACCTAAGTTCCCAAGGCCATTCAAACATGTATTGGATTAAACATTTTTTTTAAATTGCCCTCTCTCCCTGTATATATAACATCTTCTCTTTTCTCTGTTCAGATATTGAATTTCTGTCCAGTGCCATAAACATTGTTTTACAATATTGTATGTGAATTGGGGGGTCTTAAATGTTAAATTTATATGTTTATTCATTTTTTATAGGTCACACACATTCATTCACACACATTCCAATCTGTAGTTTCATATAGTCCTTAATACAGAGTGAAAATTTTAATGGATCACTTCTAATATATATGTATATTTTGTTTGTTTGGTTTTTTTTACAAGTCCTGAGGCTTGAACTCAGGGCCTGGGCACTTTTTTAAGCTTCTTTTGCTCAAGGCTAGCACTCTACCACTGAGCCACAGAGCCACTTCCAGCTTTTTCTGTTTATGTGGTGTTGAGGAATCGAACCCAGGGCATCATGCATGCTAGGCAAGGGCTCTACCACTAAGCCCCAGTGCCAGCCCCAAACATATATTTATATATTAATTAGAGCAATCACTAAATAGATATAGCATACACTATAAAAGTGGAATTTCGGTAGCTTATGTTTTGAGAGCACAAATCCTAGCCAGTGAAGAATAGTGGAAAACCACTTTTAACCAACTGCTCTGTGCATGTGCAAGTGTGGCTAGAACCCTTAGTTCTTTCAGTAGACTGACATGATGAGCATATCTGATTCCAACCATAGATGTGTTCTTGCAGATGTCATTCTTGTGTTTTGTTATCCCAAAACCATCATCACCAAAATCCCCGAGTGCCCCTATGGATGGGAAGTGCATCAGCTGGCCCTCGGGGGGCTGTGTTACAACGGAGTCCATGAAGGTGGCTACTACCAATTTGTCATCCCAGATTTATCACCTAAGAACAAGTCATATTGTGGAACTCAGTCTGAGGTAAGGCAAAGCCACACAGGTTCAGGTTGCTTAGGATAAGGTAATTGAGCCCACCAATGAGAAGTTTGGATCACCCTAGGGAAGATACAGAATGGAATAATTTCCTGAGAAATTGCCTCTTCTACTAGTTTAGATGACTGTTTGGGGCTTGCTGGAGCTAGGAAGGCCAATTCCCACTTTAACTTGAGCCCACTTCAGGTTCTGAACTTGTTCTCATAAGCCACCATCCTTCCAAGGCCAGAGAGGCAGCTGGAGGGTCCACCTTCTTCCCAAGGCTTGGAAGTAGTGATAAAGTCCATTTGGAAGAGCAAAGGTATGACCAGAGTATAAACACAATCCCTAACTTGCTTTTGAGAAGCACACGGGCCAGGGAAGCATGGAACTAATAGGAAAGCACTGTTTTTTTTCTTGGTTAGTACAATTACATGACAGAGAAGTCTGAGGCCTCCACTTAGTCACGAGTTCAAGGCTACACGACCAATAAATAGGGATATAGTCAAAGAGAGAGGTTAGGTCTTCTTGACTCATGATGTGGCCCAGTATTCCCACTGTCTTGACTGCCAGGAGATTTTACATCCATGGGTCTCAGAGGATGAGCACAATGAACTTCTAAGTCCAACTCCTCTTTCTAAATGTCCACAAGGGTCCAGAGATATGTCAGGATAAGTGGTGGGTGTGACAAAGCTTTCCATTTTTGAGTATAACTCAATGGAAGGAAATACAAATCTTCTCAGTGGTCTCAGCCCGATTACTTCTCAAGTGGATGTGTCCAGTCGGCATGTCAGAAGCAAGAATTGAAGTAATAATATCTATAGTTGGGAACAGGAAAAAGCAAAGAACTAGACAGTACTATTCTGGCCTGGGAAGATGGGTGAAGATATTAATCTAAAACATTAATGTTGAGAACTAGAAGTTTTGTTTTGTTTTTGGGTGGGGGGTCCGGTTGTGGGGCCTGAACTCTGGGCCTGAGCGCTGTCCCTCAGCTCTTCAGCTCAAGGCTAGCACTCTACCACTTGAGCCACAGCGCCACGTCCGGCTTTTTTCTTTTTGCTTATGTGGTGCTGAGGAATCGAACCCAGGGCCTCAGGTAGGCAAGCACTCTACCACTGAGCCAACTTCCCAGCCCAAGAACTAGAAATTTTGGAGCCAGTGTTTTGGCCAGTAGCCCAACAGATATATGAATTATTTTTCAACATACCACATTGCTCTAGATTACGTTAAACACTTTTAGTTGAAGTGACTCAAGAATTCTTTACAAAAATTATCAACAGCCAGGTGCCAGTGGCCCACGCCTGTCATCCTAGGTTCTCAGGAGGCTGAGATCTGAGGATCACGGTTGGAAGCCAACCTGGACAGCAAAGTCCATGAGACTCTTATCTCCAATAAACTACCAGAAAACTGGAAGTGGCGCTGTGGCTCAAGTGGTAGAGTGCTAGCCTTGAGCTGAAGAGCTGAGGGACAGTGCCCAGGCCCAGAGTTCAAACCCCACGACCAACCAAAAAAAATATATATACATACATATATACATGTATATATGTATACATATATATGTGTGTATATATGTGTGTGTATATATATGTGTATATATATATGTGTGTGTGTATATATATATATATATATATATATATCAATGCACCCTCAGACAGAATGGATTCTGTGTCCCTGCTAAATACTCATGCCCATTTATTAGGTTTTTGTCTGAACCATCTTCACCCACTGTTCTCAGAACTCTCATTCCCGCTGTGAGACACAGGGCCTAACTGCCTTCTTCCTTCCTCCAGTACAAACCCCCCATCTACCACTTCTACAGTCACATCGTATCCAATGACAGCACGGTGATTGTAAAGAACCAGCCGGTGAACTACTCCTTCTCCTGCACATACCACTCCACCTACCTGGTGAACCAGGCTGCCTTTGACCAGAGGTAAGCCGCTCTGTGGCCTGGAGGGCTGGCTGCCGGGTGGGTGCTGCAGTCCCTGTCAATCAGGCATGTTTCAGTCCTTATGCAAAATTCTCTCCCCTTTTCAGAGTGGCTACTGTTCATGTGAAGAACGGGAGCCTGGGCACATTTGAAAGTCAATTGTCTCTCAACTTCTACACTGTAAGTCCAGACAATCTTTGTCACCTGTGGCCTTCCCAGGGGACAGGATGCTTCCTCGGGGTTTATTCTCTCCACCCCAAGCACTTTGCAGAGACTTATTCTAGAACTCGGGCTTTGGCTTTAGCTTTAGCTTTCTTTGTAGACTTCATGGAACAGACATACAGATCCAGAGACCAGATAGAAGAGCTAAAAGGTGTCACACAAGTATAAGGCCATTTCACAGATGAGACAATTGAGGCAGAGTCAGTAGACAGGCATCAGGACACCCTGTATCTAACTCTTCATTGAAACTGGTTTATGTCACAAGCTACTGCACTGCAGAAAGTTATTTACACAGAGGACCTAGTTCTTAAAAAAAAAAAAACACAGAGCTTTGAGCTTTCTGATTGGGACAGAGCTATGGAGAAAACTTAAGGGCGGCCTCTATTCCTAGTTCTTTGGTCTCTGAAGCCTTTCAGTAAGTGGGTTTCCTCATTGTCTAGTTTGGGCCCATTGCCTATGTTGATATTAGAATTAAAGGCACACTTTGGCCCATTGCTCCAAAGACATTAAATATGCAAAGGCTATTAGCCTAGCTGCTTTCCCATTTAGAAGTGGTGAAAAAGAGGGAGATGAGAGAGAGAGAGAGAGAGAGAGAGAGAGAGCATAGATACTGTCCCAGATAGCTAGAGGCAGAAATACAAACCTTTGTGTGTGACATTAGAGCTGGAAGACATCATGGCAGACATCATCAGAGAGCAGAGCAGCAAAGCATCCAACCGGTTCATTTCACAAGGGAAAATGCTTTCGTACCTGGAACTCCATCAACTTTGAGCTTGCTTTACCTCTGCCTGGAAGCTATTGGCCTGGCAGAACTCAGCCCCGAGTGACAGGAGAATCCTAAATCGACCCAGATAAGGATTTGGAATCCAGAGAAGAAAAAGATGTGTCCAATACAATGCAGGCGCTTGGAGATGCATCGGGTCTAACTGTGGTGTCTCCTAAACGTAATATCTGTGATTTCTTTCCGGTGAAGGGTACAAAGCCTTTATGTCAGTGTCCCTTTTAAGGCTCTGTGACTAAATCTGGATATGAAATTTTGACTGTGCTAAAGAAGGCCCCCTAAAGGTTTCAAGGCCATCTGTCCCTAGATCTCTCCCTGGCCACATACCACTAGTGGATGGCACTTGAGAAAAGGAATCTCATGCAATCCCTCAATTATGCTCAGGGACTAATGTAGTATGTGTTACCAGGGCAAAGAAAAGATGTCAAAACAGCTACAGTCCCTGCAGAAGAATGTCTAACAAAAAAGAAAAAAATAGGGCTTCCATTCGTGAACACCCTCCTTGGGAATGTCCTAATGACGGATTCTATTTACTACCCAGTCCATCAGAAGTAAATAATTGTTATTGTAACCAGATACAATTATAGATGTGATCCTAGGAAGGTTTACAACAGTAGGCAACATGGATACCAAGAACCCTTTTTTTTTAACCATCTCTTGTCATCCACCATAGTAGCGTGATTGCCATATATATCAAACCTGAATGAGGGGTGGAGAGGAGAAATGGAGAAAAAAAGAAATGGAGAGGCACGTGTGCATATGCCTGGGTCATGTTCCTTAGCGGGCTCCAGCCTGTAGAGACAGACCAGCATAATTCCCTGACCGCTGGAGAAATCAGGTTACTGCCTCTCCCAGGGCCCTCCAAAACCCCTCAGAACAGGTGAACTGAGAAAAAGATTCTACTACCTTTGTACAGACCTTTGTACTTTGTACAAAGTACTAATCAGCATTCCTTCTGCAGACTCCCTTTCCTATGCCCAAGCCAGGAGGTTGGTATTTTTTTCTTTCTTTTTCTTCCCTGAGAGCATTCTTGTGTGTTTCTGAAGCAACAACTTCCCCCTGAATATATTTCCATCAAATTACCAGAAACAGAGCCGTGCCCTACATAGTACAATGAAACCAAATACAACGGCTAATTGCTTAGGCTTCTGAGAACCCCAATTGCTGCTCCCCTCCCCAAATAGCACTCATTCTACTCAGCATGCTTTCTCTCTTTCTCTCTCTTCCTCTCTCTTCTCTCCACTCCCCACTCACTTTTGCCAAGAACTCATAGTTGGTATTCCCAGTGAAAAGTTATTTTGACTCCCACTCCAAAATAAAAGAAAGAGTCTGGCACTTGTGGTTGAGAAAATAGGCCATGCCATGAATGCTGATTCTGCTGTTTACAAGTTGTGTGACCTTGCACAAGTTAATTAACCTCTCTGTCTCCATCTCTACATTTGTAAAACAGGAACTTAATAGCACTTGACTCTTGGCCTTGTTATGAGGGTTATCTGAAATAATCTTTAAGAAGCAATTAGCACATTGCCTGGCACTAAATCAGTGTCCAAGACCATAACTATTCCCATGACTATAGAGCCTGACCCTATTCAACATGGAGCTCCAAGGGCCCCTAGGATGGTTGCCTTCATAGGGTTGAATACAAATGGAATTGTCGACGCAGTACTGGCCATTCCTCTTAGACAAAAGAAACAGACAAATCCTGGGATGGAACAAACTCAAGCAACTGAGAACAAAAATCACAGACTCCCAGAGTCAGAACACAACTCATAGGTCACCAGCCTTGGCCTTCACACTCAAATTCCAGAACCCTTCTGTAGTATTGCTCAGGGCCGGCCTCATGGCCTCTTCCAGAGACAAGACCATAGTGAATTGAGCCTTCCATTTTAGATCAGCAAATGAAACCCAACATCCTGAGCTCTTGCTCATCTCTCACAGCTCTGTCTCCTGAAATATGACTGTGTAATTGGTTATACTGTGGATAGCCTTTCAAATATCTCTCATCTTCTTCAAGCTAAATCTTCTCATTATTGCTCATTCACCATCCTAGTCATTCTTTTCTGAGTACGGTCCAATTTGGTCAGCACCCCTATTAAAAACAGTGGAGCCCAAAGTGAAAGTGTTATATTCGAGACCCTGCGGGACCAATATAAAGCATGTGTGGATAAACAGTACCTCACTCTGGAAGATTCTAGAAGACTCTAGGAATGTATCCTAGGATATGAACTTTGGGGTAGTTTTCTTTCACCACTAGCTCACATCCAAATTTTGTTGGCATCCATAAAACATAGTACTTGTGTCACTATGACCAGTGGATCTAGTATACAGGATATATCACCCCTTCTGTGATACTGCTAGCATCCTAAGAGGTACAGTTTCTCAGGTTCTGGAGGAGTCTCTGGGGTCTTATGTGCTTGTTCTCTGGAGTTGGCTCCAATCCCTCCCCATCTCTATTCATCTGCTCCTGCCAGACCTAACTGCTCAGTCTGCAAAGTCATAATGCCTACTGTCTATTTCCTTCCAAAGAATGCCAAGTTCTCCACCAAGAAAGAAGCTCCCTTTGTCCTGGAGACATCTGAAATTGGTTCGGATCTCTTTGCAGGAGTAGAAGCCAAAGGGTTGAGTGTTAGGTAAGTATACTTCCTCTATGACTATATTTTTATATACGGGGTAGGGGGAGAAAAAGACAAGCCAAGAGACTGTTTAAATTGCAAAATTGTTCTTGAAACAAGCCTATGCCTCATGGCAATGCCAATGTGCTTTGTTTCCAGATTTAAGGTGGTCTTGAACAGCTGCTGGGCCACACCCTCTGCTGACTTCATGTACCCCTTGCAGTGGCAGCTGATCAACAAGGGGTAGGTACCTGTCAGAGTCACTACTGGGCAGCCAGCCAGGCATGCCTGGGTCTCTTTTGCTCTGGCTTAGGATAGCTTGAGAGGAGACACTGGAGCCCTTTTGGAGAGAAACCAGAGTTGTTGGGGAAGATTACAGTCGATAGATTAGCAGGGGGTTTCCTGTCCATGTCGGTGTACCTGTAACAGCACACCCATCCGCCTATCTCAAAGAATAATCTATTGTAGAAGGAGGCCTGTGTGCAGGGTGTGAAGCCCTCCCAGCAGGCAGCTGCCAGTGGGAGGGAGCTGTCACTGAGGGGCAGGTAGAAGAGCCAGTGGGAGGGAGCTGTCACTGAGGGGCAGGTAGAAGAGCCAGTGGGAGGGAGCTGTCACTGAGGGGCAGGTAAAACAGCTGGTGACAAGAAGCAGCCGCAGTGCCAAGCCATCTAGGCTTGCCCACTATCTGCCTCCTTCTCCCCTTCATCACCCCGTTCTGTCCCCCACCCCTGCCTCCCTGGAGCTCTGTTTACATTAGTTTCCACTGGCTGACACCTTACTCGGGCCACTCAGGCTGAAAAGAGCTATTTTAAGACGGGTTCATATAAGGATCTCAGGTTTACTAACCAAACACTCCTACCAGAAGCCTTGTTTCATAACTTGGAAAGTGATCTGCCACTCCATCACCATGCAGGCACCCCAAATAGAAGTAGCTCTGACCCTTGGTCCAGATACAAAGGCAACACTTGCCTCTCGCTTCACTCTAGTGAACTCTCAGAGGTGACATCGCTCGGGTCCAGCCTCGTGTCGCTGAGGACACATTCAGATGACAGATGTTGCTTTTCTATGTTTACATGAAAAATATAGTCGCATTTCTACCACACTTGTTAAGTAATACGAATGTAACTTAAATGGCAGAGTATAAATTTTCATGACAAACTTCATACCACACACAGAAACCCATGTCAGGTCTGACCTGAGTTTAGAGTTCTATGGCAGTATTGTGAGACACTGCTCTCAAAATTGGGCATCTTCAATATGCCACTTCTGAGGAGAGCTTTGGGAAATTTTTTTTAGTTTTTGAGACAGCTCAGTCTGGCATTGAACTCACTATGTAGCCCAGACTTGACTGGAACTGCTGGGCCTCCTCTTCACCTCCTCAGTGCTGAGACGACATATTTGCACCACCATACCTGGCAAGATTTCACTTTTACTTCGTTCTGCTTTGTTTTGAAGGTGCTAGAATTTGAACCGGGGGCCTTGTACTTAACAGGTAGGCTTTCTATCACTTGAGCCATGCCCCCAGCTTAAGCTCAAGAGTCTCACTTTTTTAGGAAGTGTGTGGCCATTCCTAACTCATTTCCCTTCTATCATACCTTGTCTATAGAATGAAGACACACTCACCTCATAGCCCCTCAACGGGACCTCAAAATTATAAAGCTCAAGCCCATCAAAGTGTTTCAGAAAGGGGAGGAGCTGCACTCAAAATTGGGAGAGAGATGCTATGGAGAGATTTGCCTCCAAACCTTTGCTGGAATTCCCCAGTGTGACGTGTCCTCCTCTTTCCCTGTGTGTTCTAGCTGTCCCACAGACGAAACAGTCTTGGTACATGAGAATGGGAAGGATCACAGGGCAACCTTCCAATTCAATGCTTTCCGGTTCCAGAATATCCCCAAGCTCTCGAAGGTTTGGTTGCATTGTGAGACATTCATCTGCGACAGTGAGAAGCTCTCCTGCCCAGTGGTGAGCCACCTCTCTCTCGAAGGAGCATATTAGAGCTGGGATTTGAGCTGGGAAGTTGTAGCCTGGCCAATATAAGTGTGCATAGAGGAACTTCCTGGAGAAAAGGGCCTGGCTACAGGAGCAGAAGCTCCAGGCATATCCATCCTGCCACTACCAACCTGCCCAGTCTGGTGTGTGTTCCTCACCCTGCTGGGCCTGGTTTGCTCATCTTTCCACCATGATAATAAGTACTTATGGCTCTGCCATTCTTAAACATCCATGGAAGCTAAAATGAAGCCCAAGAAATGCTTTGAAACAGACCTCAAAATGCTTTGAAGAGGTTTGAATTCAAGGTCTGGCAAAAAACTCAAAACGTTGGGCATATTTAGTCTTGACAGGACACTAGAAAGTTCTGCCCAAATTCTGGGTCAAAGCTGATTGGACAATGAGAGAGAGAGAGCCAGAAATCTATGCTTCTAACCATCAGATGAGTCTGGTGTTGACTGAGTTTAAGGAAACTGCTCTAGAGGCTTAAAAGGACCAAGTTCCAAATTGTTGTCAAGATTGGACCGAAGGCCTTGAAGTTTCCGTTCATCTCCAGCCCCCACAGCCTATAGGAACCGACAGAGAGAAGGTGACTCATTTGGCAAGAAGCTGGTTTATGCTGAGAACAGATAGAGAAAGGGAAAGGAGGCAAAGGGTGCAAGATCAGAAAAATAAGGAGAGAAATATTGTACAGTTGATGGGAGGATAAATAACAACACTATATAAAAAGAAGAAATGAACCAGACAGAATAGACTTTGCAACTGATTGCTTCTCAAGTACCTGAGATGAGAATGGCTGTACTTGAAAGCCTTTCTCCCATCAAAAGGCATTTATGTAAATCCCCCACCCATCAAGGTAAAGCTCTGTTCATTTCTCATCTTCTCTCTCTCCCTCTCCAGACCTGTGACAAACGGAAGCGCATGCTTCGGGACCAGACAGGGGGCGTCCTGGTGGTGGAGCTGTCCCTGCGGAGTAAGCGCCCCACCCCCACCCCCCATCCCCCGTAGTCACATGCATTCTGGACTGTGTCCACATGCAGTGCCGGTCTGAGCGTTTTGACTGAATTGCCAAACCAGGTGTGCCTGTGGACACAGTCTTCACCTGCTTTGTGGAGGGGGCAGCTCATGCCACTCCAGGAGGTGAGGTTTGTGGGTGACCCTGAAAACCTCTCTCTACATTTGAAATCCAAATGACCCCACCCCATCCAAGAAAGGAAGAGGTACTGAGCTACGAAATAGAACATGCAGTGCACAAAAATAGACAAGATGTGCTCTAAGAATGTCAAGGGCAAGTGAACAAGACTTTACTATGCAGGCAACACTTGCAGGCAACACTGCCTGCCTGGGATGGGCATTAAAGTTTCAAGGAACACCCCTCTTCCCCTCCCCCTCTCCCAGGTCCTCAAGTAACTTACTGTCTTGCAAGGAGAGAGACAGTAGACACCAAGGGGAAGATTACTGTTAAGGGGTAGTTGGTGGATTCAGTCCAGTCTAGGTCTGATGAAAGACAGTTGTTAAAAGACTTTACCATGACCTGCATGATGATGTGTTTTAAGGGTACACCTGACCTGTGGGGACACAGAGGACTTTAATAACTGTACCATGAAGTCCAGTGACCAAACCATGCTCAGGGCCCAGTCCCAGGCTGCCTCCTGAGGGCCTGCAAGCTAAGAAAGGTTTATTTTTAGACCTTTATGTGGTTCCAAACTAAAACTATTTCATGACACATAAAAATGATACAAAATTTGGGCTGGGAAGGTAGCTCAGTGGTGGAGCGCTTGCCTTGCATGCATGAGGCCCTGGGTTCAATTCTTCAGCACCACATAAGCAAAAAGAAAAGAGCTGGAAGTGGCACTGTGGCTCAAGTGGTAGAGTGCTAGCCTTAAGCTGAAGAGCTGAGGGACAGTGCCCAGACCCAGAGTTCAGGCCCCACAAGTGGACCCCCCCCCAAAAAAAATGATACAAAATTTTTATTTTGGTGCCCATAAGGTTTTATTAGAACACTGAGACTTGTGTTCATGTAGGTGGTATTGTCCATAGCTACCAGCATCTGCTGCGAGAACAGTGTAGATTCATAGCTATAGAGGCTATGCCAGCCTGGAAGGTTAAGAATTCTGCCTGAGCTACATAGACATTATCTTAAGAAAAAGACTTGCTAGCTAGATGCCAATGACTCACGCCAGTGATCCTAGCTATTCAGGAGGCTGAGGTATGAGAATTGTGGTTCAAAACCAGCCTGGACAGGGAAAAAAAATTCCACTAGGTTGATATCTCCAATTAACCACAACAAAGCCAGAAATGGAACTGTGGCTCAAGTGGTAAAGCACCAACCATGAGCAAAACCACTAAGGAATAATGAAGGCCCAGGCCCTGAGTTTAAGCTGTAGTACTTACATTAAAAAAAAAATTTTAAGAGAAAAAGAAAAGAAACTATTTCTACATGGTCTGCAAAACTGAAAATGTTTACTATCTGGTCCTCTCAGAAATTTATTGACTCTTGCCTTCGACAGCCAGGAAGAAAAGAGTATGCACGGAAACATCACTAACTGTTAGTCCAAAATGTGTTCTAAAGGCAATGGAAGATGGTGATTTATCCAGGAGTGGGACTCAGGCTTGTTTTTGTGGAACCGTAACTCTGAAATTTCTCCCTCCCTGATCTTTTCTTAAACCTATATTCTCTCTATTCACTCTAGGCAGGGGATTTTCGAGTCTCTGTAGCCTCTCAGGTAAGAAAAAAGGAAACTTCTGGAAAATGTCATAGGGTAATGTTTGTGTAACGCAGATGGGTGTTTCAAAGATCACTTTGGCCCCTTTAAGAATTGAACATGTGAGCTGGAAGGTTGGCTCAGTGGGAGGGTACTTGCCTCGCATGCATGAGGCCTGGGTTCAATTCCTCAGCACCACATAAATAGAAAAAAGCTGGAAGTGGCGCTGTGATTCAAGTGGTTGGGTGCTAGCCTTGAGCTGAAGAGCTGAGGGACAGTGCCCAGACCCAGAGTTCAAACCCCAAGACTGACAAAAAAAAAGGAAGAATTGAACATGTAGCTGGGTGCTGGTGGCTCACATCTGTTATCCTAGCTATTCAGGAAGCTGAGATCTGAAGAACAAGGTTCTTGGGCCAGCTTGGGCAGGAAAGTTCATGAGACTCTTACCTCCAGTTAACCACCCAAAAAGTTGGAAGTAGAGCTGTGGCTCAAGTACCAGCCTTGAATAAGGAAGTTCAACACACACACACACACACACACACACACACACACACACACACACACACACACACCTGAACATTTATACTTTAAAGTGCAACTCTATGGGTGATGGGGGAGACAGAGGTGAAAAAGTCTTTCTCCATCCAGCCCGTAGGAGGGGCTGGGGTTTGCCTGGATGAAGCGGTACTAGACCCTACATCCCCAAACCTCAGAGAAGCCAGCAACAGGGGCTTTTACTTGGCTTCCTATGTTGGAAGAACATGATTTTCCATGATCTGTTCCGTCAACAAATATTTGAGTCCCTCATTAACTAAGTGACCTTGGGCAATGCCTTTACCTCTTAGTACTTCTGTTTCTTCTGACATGAACTAATAATTGCCCCATCATGCATGGTGTTGTTTGGATTACTTAATTACAGCTAAAGGCACTGAGCAAGATTACTGACCTTCCTAGTGTATACGAGGTAAACCAGTCTGTACGAGAGACAGGGGACATGATTTAGTCTCCAGCCAGGGAAGGGCTGAAGAGGAAGAACCACTTCAGCTAAGATACAGGTCTTACTGGAATCAGGAGAGGGAATTAACTACACAAGGAGAAGGGATAATACAGTCCCATTGATTCATAAATTCACACTTTGCTCCTATCACTACATGAAAATCTTGTAAAACAGCAGGGGCACCAGTGGCTCACCCATGTAATCCTAGCTATTCAGGAGGCTGAGATGTGAGGATTAAGGTTGGAAGCCAGCCCAGGCAGAAAAGTCAATGAGACTCTTCTCTCCAATTAACTAGCAAAATGCTTGAGGGAGAGGTGTGATTCAAGTGGTAAAGCACCAGCATTGAGCAAATTAGTGAGAGTGTATGGTTCTGAGTTCAAGCCTTGTTACACACACACACACACACACACACACACGTAAAGCAACTCCAATTGAAAGGAAGTTCTACAGCCAAAGCCTGGTAGTAAAATGTGTCATCAAGGGCTTATTCATCAGAACTCCACAACCTGGGTTTATCCACCAGATAAAGTGAACCATGGGATCTCCATTTCTTGGGGAACAGAAATGATTATGCACAAAATGTTGTAGTATCATGGAAACCTCTTTAGGTTGACATTGTTGTGGCTTCCACTGGTAGACTTGTCCTTGACCTTGTGTGACTGTTTCTCAGTGCTGTCTCCTACCCACTCTTGTTCACAGGTGTTTTCTATCATCTCATCGTGATGCTGGGGGTGTGTGTCCTGCTGTAAGAGTTAGCCGGCAGCTGCCTTTCCTTCCCCAGGCCCCCCAAACACAAGGTCATCCTCAGCAATGATAAACTCGTTTATTTTGCTGCCAAAAAGAACAAACAGAAGATTGCATTGTTGGGGGCCAGAGACAAAGGCTTGGCCAAATATGCATTCCAGTGATGTGTGTGTGTGTGTGTGTGTGTGAATTCAGTGATTGTTTTCCTCTGGTGCCCCACTTCCTCAGGCTACTTCCTGTGGCAGTTAGATCCCACCAATCCTGTCCCTTATAGTGTTCTAGGGGCTTCTTTCCTCATATTCAAGGCTGCCCCTGGAGTCCTTTGAAAGCAGTCCTCATGTTAAAAGACCCTCACACATCTAACCAAACACAGCTGGAGAAGAATGTAGGGCATAACCACAAAATCAATGACAAACACAAAACGCACAGGAATGGCCAGCTTTGGCCAATAGAAGGCGCTCTCTCTCATTCTACTTAAGAACCAGATCCAAGCCCCCAAGCAGGATTGGGGTGCTTGTAAAGCCTTCAAATAACAATGGAGAAATGACAGTGGAGTATGATCACTTTACTGAAACCTAAGTAACAGAAAGAAAATGCATTTTGAGAGCCCCAAACACTAACTAAACCTACTTTGTTTTTTTTCTTATAGGCTTCTTAAATATACATAGACATTCAATAGGTATAAATTCCTTATTCCTATAGTGGATAGATATTTGAAAAGATGCAAAAATAGGAGAAAACTACAAAAGGAATAAAAGTCATCCATTTTATATAGCAATGCAGTACTGGCTAAATGAAATGAACTTGCCCCTGACAATGGAAGGAGCAACTCCCTCAGCATAGGTCATTCTCAGCTTGGTGACCCAGTCTCACGAGATACCTTATGATGTTCAGTGCCTCTGTTATCTTTCTCATTTGCTCTAAGAAATCTTCCTTCATACAGAATGGTTCAAACTCATTTAGCTTTTACCTAAAACATTCAGGCAAGTGTCTATACCTGTCATATGACCACGGGAATGGAGCTAACAGTAATCAGAAACACAAATGCAAACATGGCCCCGATGAAATTATATGGTAGCATGCCCTTAGGACATCCCTTTCCACCCCACCGCCACCTCATGTTCTAGAGTACACTGATATCAGTGAGGAACATTTGTCAACAGAGTGAATACTGAATGAACCAACCCTGGCAGAGAACTGACTACAGTGTGACAGAATAAGACTGAATTCTGGGTTTTTTATTATGCAAATTGAATTAGCCTTACAATTTGAAATCACATGTTTCTGCATACTATATTTCATGTATTTGAGAAGTCTTAAGATCTACAGTTTGATTCTTTTTATAATTTGCTTTAGTGAATTCAGAAATTAAGCTAGTTATTGAATCTCTGGTGACATGAAGTATAAGTTTGCTGAGCCATAGACTAGAGATAAATAATTCAGTGCTTTCTAAGGTTGGTCTCTAAGCTGATGTTTGGGATCTCTTCCTTCTGTAAATTTGGAGATTTGTGTAGTCACGAAGGATAGAAGACATGGTTTATTGATTCTAGTCAAAAAAATTTAAATAGCCAAATTTATAAATTTTTGGATATCAGAGTTTAACATGATGTTGCATTAGTTTTGCTTTATTTTATCATGTTTTATGACCTTGTGTCTCTCATGGGTGCTATGGAATAAATAAAATGCCTTAAAATAAATAAATCCATGACTATAATATGCAGTATTAATATATCATGGTGAAAGGCCATTTCCAGGGGCTCCACAAACAGGGCTTCCAGTGTTTCCATCTTACATGTATTCTTCAACCACACCAGTGCTGGAGGTCCACTCAAAGTGGAGGTGATTAAGTCATTGTAGATGATGAGCCTTGGTGGGAAAGGGTCTCTTGGGTCATCCTTGTCTATAAAGCCAGCAAGAGTATGTGTTCTGGCCCAAGCAGCACTATGCCATTTGTCCTTTCCATCTCATGACCTCTCTACTGAAGGATTAAGAGAAAGCACCCACAAGTCAATCTCTCTTGTAAATTCTCATTAGTGCCAAACAGACCTTCAGAGAAGGAGGAAAAGTAAACACTCCCTTAGGTATCCTGGTTGACAGAAGAAGAAAATCTTGGTTACTCTGGAGGCTGAGATCTGAGGATCGTGGTTTGAAGCTAGCCCGGGCAGGAACGCCATAAGACTCTTATCTCCAATTAACCACCAGAAAACTGGAAATGGTGCTGTGGCTCAAAGTGGTAGCCTTTAGCAAAAGTACTCAGGGACAGTGCCCAGCCCCTAAATTCAAGCCCTATGACCAACTGTCAGGAAGGAAGGAGGGAAGGAAGGAAGGAGGGAAGGAAGGAAGGAAGGAAGGAAGGAAGGAAGGAAGGAAGGAAGGAAGGAAGGAAG